TGGCCGTTTCTCAGTCAAGAGTTGCTACCGTTTCTTAGTCGGGGATTTCAGCTTGTCTGAGCAGAAGGACTGGTCGGTTATGTGGTCTTGGAAACTTCCTCCAAAGCTTAAAATTTTCTTCTGGCAGGTTTGTACAGGCAGCCTCCCAACTAGATATAATCTGCAGTCTCGCCGTGTGCTTTGTCCTGGGCAGTGCGGCTTGTGTGATGGGCCGGGGGAGTCTTTATCCCACATTTTTATGTCGTGTGCAGTAGCTAAGGAGGCGTGGGAAGTAGTGAGATGGAGATGGACTGCTCATAGTGCAAATGATTTCCTGGGGCAGGTACATAAGGAATTTCAAACAAGAAGAAAGGATGACTAGGTGAAGATGATTTGGGGTTGTTGGGCCATTTGGAATGAGAGAAACCGTCGCGTCTGGCAGAATACTTCTTCTCCGACGTGTCAATTTATGTTCAGGGCTGAGGCGATGGTGGCAAGTTGGGTCAGGTGGCTACTTCCTGGAGCCGTCCAGCAGCGGGGACGATGAAACTGAATGTTGATGTTGCTGTCCGAGCTGATCACTGCGGGCTGGGCTGGTGTTTGAGGGACAAGGATGGTACTTTCGTGACGGGGGCTGCACGCAAATGGCAGGGGCAGTGTTCCGCATTGGAAGCCGAGCTGCTCGGAATTAGAGAGGCTCTAAGCTGGCTGCAAGATTTAGAGTGGCGTGATATTGCAGTGGAGTCTGATGCTTCTCGCGCTATCTTTGAAATTTTGAAGGGCTCGAGTCATTCTTCCTACGGTTTGATGGTAGATGATATTAGAGAGCTTGCAAAGAATTTTTTAAGCATCTCTTTCACTCATATTAGTAGATCAGCGAACAAGGCAGCTCATGTTGTTGCTAAGGCGGCCTGTTCTTTGTCTGATTCTCAATCTTGGTTTTCTAATCCTCCGTCATTTATTTCTCATGTAATTGACAATGATTTGATTAATAATAGCTAATCCCCTTTCTCTCTAAAAAAAAAAGAAGAACAATAATTTAACTACTAAAAACGAAACATATATTCGGGTAGAGAGACCAAGCGTGGGCCGTCACTGCTAAAAACTGGAACTCTCACTGGTAAAGGATTCCCCATCTCCGAGCTCAGCCGCGAGGAGGGCTCGCAATCACAACCAGATTTCCTCAGCACCCAATGCCGGCGACGAAGATGGCAGAGGACCTGTCTGGGCCTCCCTTCTCCGGACGGAAGCAACAACGCCGCTTTCCACTCCTGTTGACGGCGACAATAGGTGTCTGTTCATCCCTGTGATCAGATCCGCCTCCCCTCCTTTCCCGGCAGCCGCGATGAGCAGTTCTAGCCTGAGACGTGGACTTTAGTTTGGATCTGATTCTTAAAACTGCTTCTACTCCTTCAAGGAGCAGAAGCAGAAGTTTAATTGTTTGGGTGAAAATGTAGAAGTGATTCTGGTAATCTAATTTACTCCTAGAATTAGTGTTTTTAGAAGATGAGAGAGACCATCTTCTGAAAACTGATTCTGATTCTGCTTCTGTTTTAAAAAAGAAGCAGAAGAATCATTTCCAATTTCCAAATGCTTCGCCGGGAAACTTGGGCCAAGAGGGAAGCAGTGGACCGTCCAACTAAATATTTCAACGGCCTTCAAATTCAGCAACACATTCAATTTCAGCCCGTATAAAAAGCTAAGTGCTCTTTCTCTAATTTTCTATATAATTTGTCAAATGCTTAAATTGACTCAAAAGTGCAAAAGAAAAAAATATAATGAAATATTAATAATAAAGCATCAAACTTCAATCTCGAAGGGCGAGTCATCCGTTAAAAGATTCCCAAAAGCGCGCATCTCGTGGATTCGAACTAGGATCATTCGAACTAGGAACTTGAGTGGCGAGTTGAGCTAAATTATTAATTTATTATCATATTTTTTTTAACATTAAAAAAGTGGACTTATGATTTCGAGCACTCACGTACACCGGTAGAGTGGTGAAATCTTGCACCACCGGGTCACGTCATACGGGTGTGGCGATAATAAGCTCCCTATCCGAATGTCATTTAGTACACATTCTAGTTTCTATGTTCTGTACGAGCTATGTGTGCCCCCTAACTATCAGAGTCATTCTCTAGCTTGGGCGCCTGCCACACTCCAACTAAGCATAGAAATCTAGCTTGAGCTTTAGCTTGAAAATTTTAGACCACTTAATGTAGGCCCAAATCCAATAGCGAATTATAAGCTAAAAAAAAAAATACTCCGTATAACTTCGAATTTATATCGGCCTCTCGGCCATACTGTTGGTCATCTTTATTTGATGACCCAGACATCGATATGGACAGTCGTTTTGGGGGCATCCGTGTACTCTTTTTCCCTCATTAGGATTTTTCCTTATAGAGTTTTTCCTAGTGAGGTTTATAACGAGGCATCTCCCCAACGTGGACAGAAGGCGTCGACCCTCGTCCCCTATTAAAGACATCACGAGATATGCACTACTCTACTCCTCTTCACCTCACTACATTCACCTAAAGGAGTGGGGGAAAGGAAGAGCGGGTGACTTAGCACCTTCATTAATCGAAGAAGCACAATTTCAAAATTTTCACGAGATTTGCCACATACACCACGACAGATCACCACACAGCTCTACTCCCTTTCACCTCGAGTACTCTCGACTTAAGAGTGGGGAACTCCTGATAGAGTATATAGACTCGAACCCTTGAGTCTCACAACTATTGGGCCCGGACAGCGGCCCACACACGCTTAGCGAATATTATTCATATTATTGTACCATTCAATATGTATTTGTACCTACTAGATTAGTCTTTTTATGTAGTTGGGCCTATCGGGCCCATATTAGAGACCCGGCCCGTTCTCTCAATATATAATCCCTATGGAGACTTTGTAACCCTAATTTCGTATTCATTTATAATACATTACACTTTCATCTTCTACATTATATACTTTGGATACCCTATTATTCATCATTTGAAATTAAAAAAAAATCAGTTTAGAGATACTAGAACATGGACAACTACAAAACAGTCATTGCTGTTGTACACTACATTAACCGGTTTGTTAATGCAAGTTAGCTTATATTGTTCTGGGCATCAAGCTTGGGATGCAATATCGAAAGTGAAAACACTTTCTGATGTTAAAGGATTATGCATATTATTTGCTAGTGATAGTGAATCGTGTGATCCTGTATTGCAGTCAAGGAACTTTGAAGGAATCCACTTCAAATTACAACAGAGAGCTGCTCATTTCAGAATGACTATTTCACAGTATAACCATTTCACATTGAAATCAACACGATCAAAACCATTTCAGATTAACCATCAAGTCTGGAACTCTACTTTTGAAACCGTAAAGCTAGAAAGAATACATGTTTCCGATCAAATATTGAATGACTTAGGTTTAAAGCCATCTACGAAACCAAAAAATTGTATTGCACTCATATCAATTTAATTTTAAAATGTGCTAAAGAGCTCCAAGAAGTCCATCCATATTGAAATTGGAAAAGCCAAATACAGATTGAAATGAAATATAATCCTTAAATCAACATATTGAGAGTTATCTCTCTCATATCATCATTTGAACATAAAATTTGAACTATTAAAAAATCTAAGCAAACCTTAGTCAGCGAAATTTTCTAACACATCATCGGAGGAACCAGAATCACATCTTCAAAATACTTGACCGGAGCAACGCTCGACGGAGACCCGGATCCAAACTCATCCAAGATGCATCAGAGCGATACTCAACGGAGACAATAATGGTTAGAACGGTTATTATTAAGGAACTTCTCTTCCGTTATTGTACTTTTCTCTTATTTTAATAAATCCCGATTAGTGTTCCCAAATGCTTGACCCACCAACTTAGGTGGTTTGATATATGGGAATATGTGTGTATTAAACTTTGAGTTGTTGTGTTCCACGATAGACACATACAGAGTATAACGTACTGTATAAGTAGACATGGATAAGAGTGAAATTGGACATTATGATTACATGTGAATATCATATTGGACATTAGTGTTTCAAATGGAACAAATTGGACACCATATATAGTTACATGCATATCTCATATTGGACACTAAAGTTTCAAATGGATCAAATATAACGTTTTTCTGATCATTTTTGGACACCCACCAAAGACTTCACATTTGAAAGCTGTGAGTATTCTTTTTTTCCTTGGTTTTATGTACCTAAAAAATTACTTAATCCGTGTATTTAAATTTAGAATATATAATTAAATGTTCCATTTAAGAAAATCTATTACAATGTAATTGAATTCTGTAATTATGTGAAACTAATTCAATTAATCGATATTTCCCAAAGTTCCATAAAAATCATATGAATGAAAAGTTGCAAATATATGTATAACTTGTTAAATATAAGAATTTATTTATTAAAATCGGATTATATATTCTATGACCTCAAATTAAATATTCTAAAATATATTTTATACATCAATTAAATTAGTTTATTGACACCAAAACGGAAAAAGCTAAGGGAAACGGAAAATAAGACTAACGATTTTTATTAAAGGAAGAAGAGAATCGTGAGTGTCCAAAAACTACGAATAATGAAACTTTGATGACTAATATGAGATTCACACGTAACTATAGTATCTGATTTGGTCCATTTGAAACCTTAGTGGTCAATATGAGATTCATATGTAACTATAGTGTCCAATTTTAGACATGCATACACAATGTATATACTACCTCCGATCCGTCTTGAAAAGGTTTGTCTGTCATATTAACTTTTCTTGATCAATGAAGGCAAACTTCGGGCAATCATTTTTTATTATTATATTTATACACTCCGTATAGTTTATAAATCTTATAATTTCATGAAAATATTTTCGACAAGAAACATTTTTTTATATAATTTTCATATTTAAAGTAATTTTACATTAAAAAAGATTATTGATCAAAATTGATTATCATTGATCAGGAAAAGTCTAACCTTTGTGGGGCAGGAGATGTGTTCCTCAAGCTGAAATATACAGTAGTAAACATATTGGACTAATGAAATACCAATCCAACAATGTGATTAAGAACTACGAAGACATGCATACGTAGTATATAATACGGGGAGTAAGTAGTAATGTGGCAATTAATCCTGGCCGATGGTAATTAAAGATGAGAAGAAAGCAAAGAAAAGTTGAAAATTTAATCTGTTTATTTAGGTAAAGCACATGCAGATATAAAGGGCGGCCGGTGAAATTTTTCACAAGATAGCGCAGGCAAAGGGATTATCGTCGCTGAACAAGTGAGGCACAGCTTTCATGATCATATATTGCGTGTTCATTACTTGGTTAAGCCAGTCCGGGTGCACTGTAGCATATGGACCTTTTGTAGGACCCGCCAAAGCCGCAGAGTGTTTAAAGGCATCATTGTAGTTTGGTCCACCGCCGCCACCTCCGCCACTTTTCTCCTTTCCTGCATTTGCATCGTCCTTCTTTACAACCACCTCCTTTTTCGCGTCTCCATTGCCGCTCTTCTTTTCGCCCTCTCCGTTGCCGTCCGTTTTACTCTTTTTGCCGTCTCCGTTCTTCAATTTTTTTAAAATTGAAAAAAATTATATTAACGTACAAGTGTAAATTGTAAAACCGGATTATAAATATAGTCTATCATCACCCTTTCAAAAACAAAATCGTCTATCATAACATTCATTATTAACAAGCATCCATCATCACATATAGAGCCCATTTGGTAACGCTGAAATCGGCTGAATCACCTGATCCTGCTGAAATTTATGAAGTTCTGACTTATGTGGTTGTGTCGGTTGATTCTGCTAATTTATGAAAAAATTTAATGTAAAATTTATAAAAGTTTTGACTTAATTTATTTTATTAACTAAAATAAAGAAAAATTATATGTAAAAATAGCTAAAATGGTCCTCTACATTAACTTTAGCCGAAACAGCCAGAAAAGTAACTCCAACTTTACTTTTTCTTATCATTACATATTTCAACCCGTGTAATCAAAAGTTACGTGTTTCGTGAAAAAATTGGCCGATAAGCCGAATAACAGTGTTACCAAACGGGCTCATAATCTGGAAAACTTACTATATCCTGTTCCTACCCGTAAAATTCAAACATACTTTAACCATGTTTTTAATTGGAATAAAATTTTCTTATCTCGTATGTTTTGTTTAAATCTGGTTTGATATGAACTGGTCTGATATATTGTATTGTACAACTGTTATAGTTTGATCTTGTCCGATCTTGTTTGCTTAAATATGGTCTGATCGGGTATGGTCCGGAACTGAAATAAGCATAAATAAAAATATCTTATTCATTTTTTTGATGGTAACTACATCTTATTCTTTGATAATTTATAAATGTTTTTTTTTGAAAAATATTTTTAAATTCTTCTCATTCTAGTTTTTCAAATTTTTAAAACTTTTTTACTAATAATGAATTAAATATGTTAATTGTTAAATTTTTATGTTGTCAAAGGTGAAAAATATAATTGTTACAACTAAAAAACGATGGATAAGTATTTATATCAATTGGCACGTACTGAGCGTGATCTGAACAAAATACGCCGTAGTTATTGAGAAGAACATGTCCCTTCCCAAACGGCCAGACTACCATTTTGTAAAATTAAAGAGTCATTATTGTATAAGATATTGTCCTAAATGAGACTAAAACATTAGCAAAACTCAAAAATAGGAGTATAAGTTTATTATTCTCTAAATAGGACTCCACATTACATTTTTGCCCTCCCCTTCATTAAACCCAAAATCAACGCCTCAGACTTTATCTACGCTACTGCATCTTCCGATTTGGGAGCAGCGATATCCTTCTTCCCCATCACAGACGGACTGCTACCCAACCACACTTGACTAGTTGACGGCATATGCAATTTCCGGCGATAGCTATTCAATTCCTCCGACGGAATCACACTTCGCATCTGCAATTCCTCCGATGAAGTCAGGTAACCCTCCTTCCCTTTTCTTTCTCTTCCTCCTCTTCCTTATTCTTCTTCTCTTCTTTCTTGTTCTTCTTTTATTTTCTTTTTGGACACTTTTCATCTTGACGTGCTCACACCTCCTCTATTTTTTATTCTCTTAATTTGATTTTCAATTTTATATTAATTATGATTAATTTATTTTAAAACATTGAAATTATTTAATTATGGTTTTTATGTTGATTTGAGAAATGTCACTTTTCTGACCGGAGAATGTCAAAATTATTGGTTATTTGAAAAAACTGGCATGTTTGTGGCAGTATTTTTTATCAGGATGACACTCTGAAACTGTCATACATCCATAAGAAAATGTCATTCTTATGACATTTTATGGCATTTTCATGGCTTATCTGAGAATAACATAACTATTTGTTATTAGAAGTGACAAGTTTTTTTACATGTTTTCCAAATGATGTCAGTATTTTTCATCTAAAAAATTACATAATTTATTTTCTAACACTTGAGAATGTCATATTTTTTTATAGCAAAATGTCATTTTTGTGTCATTACTCTTATGAAGATGACATTCTCTCTCAAGCCTTACAATGACTTCTTGGAGGGATGCTGCTTCACGAGAGGATGGTGGCAGCTTCATCCGAGAATGGCAGCAATGAACTCAGCTTAGGGTGGCAGATGTGCGCAACAGACTTGCTGGAGGATGGTTACGATGTACCGATGAAGTTACAGCAGATTTGATTATTTTAGCACAGATCGACTTGGATGATGGTTGCGATGCGCTAATGATGTTACGGCAATTCATTAAGGCTATTTTTGTCAAGACACAAATATTTAGTCCTATTATAGAAATTTAAAACAATAAGTCCCGTTTTTGCATTTACCTCATCTTTTACTCCTATTTTGTCAATTCACTCTTATTGTATTGTCTGACTGTCTGAGAAACATATACTCCGTAGCTTAATTAGCATTGTCTCATTTTGTATCAACTTTCAAGTTTCAATCTATGTTATAAAAACCGGACCGGAGGGCGACCCGGCTGAACGACTGGGTCACGGGTCAATCCGGTCAATGCCGGAAAACCCGGTCAACCCTGACGACAAAATTATTAGTCTAAAACATACATTTCCAACAAAATGGAAAATATATTCAAAATTAGATGGATGACAAACACGAATATAACACTCATTAAAAAAATAAAAAATATTTTTCATAAGGTATATGCACTTATATTAATTACGGTTTTATTACGTATTTATAGAATTAGTAATTAATAGTTAATAGTATGAATAGAATTAGTACTACGTATTTATTACGGTTTTATTACAATTATTAATTACTAATTACAATCTTTAAAAGCATTAATTAATCATGATAAAAGGTTCGAGCACCATTCTGGTTAAAAAGACGATAGGGGCTGGAGAGATTTATTAATTCCAAACTACTCCGTAATAAATACTTAATGATGCTTTACCCAAAATAACTTAGACAGAAATGATAAATAGAACAAAAGTGAAACTTTAACAAAAACGCAAAAGCAGTCCCTTGGTATGGTAATCAAACTCTCAGCCTGCGCACGCGGGATCGAATCCCTGTAGATGACATTTTATGTCTAATTCCGATTTTCATCTGAAATCCGGGTTTAATCCGTTCCGGATACGGTTTGGGTCACCCGGGTCACCGGGTAATGCCGGGTTCGGAGAGATTTGCGGTTCACTAGTCTACCGGACCGGATTTGGTTCCGGGTCGACCCGGCCGGTCCGGCTCTTACAACATAGGTTTCAATACCATAGAATAAAAATTAATAATAATCACAAATTTAATAAGAAAAAATTCCACTAATATTACTCTTTGAAAAGTAGTGGACAAAAATGTGACTTGGTAATTTTTAGTGATTATGATTGTGTTCAATGTTTCTATCGTAGTCACATTTTTGTCTATGACTTTTTTCTTAGTAATATTTTAGGAAAATTGTCATTTAATAATAACAATTCCACTAATATTACTCATTTAAGAGTTACAGACAAAAATGAGATTTGATAACTTTTAGTTACTATAATTATGTTCAAAGTTACACAAAATCCCCTAATTGCCTGTATACACAGACAATTCGTTTAAAAAATAATAATTGTCCCAAATCTATACTAATATAAAAAGGGAAACCAGTAGAATAACCGTTTCCACTCCAAAAGTAACGACCGATCAACCATGGAGGCATCCTTATACTATATACGTGGTACGAGTATATTATATATAGTACCGTTTCCGCCTGGCTATATGTAATACAGTACGTTTGCAGCACAGAGTGGACACGACTATTTGCTTACCTTTAATTGAAATTACGTAACCAAACGTATGGTCGTGTTTAATCGTTCATTAGAGGGTTCCCACCCACAAACTTCCATTGAAATCACTTAAATCAACTCTCAAATAACATCTTTAATCATATTTGATCATGTGGCCATGATTCCGTGAAAAGAAAAGTGACTGAAAATAAGAAAAACGGGTGAAAAAAATATGAGCAAACAAAATAAAAACGGTAATAATTAGCCTACGAACACTTTCCAGATCATTCTGTTATCGTTAGAAATAATCCAGGTGGCACTAATGTTAAAGCAAATGTTTCAATGTGTTCATAATGAGGGCACCTTTCTTTTCAATTGCAGTGTATATTTTTCTTTGTTATCACACAATGAACTTGAGAAGGCTACGTACTGGCATGGATCGGATTGTGAACAGCGAGAGAAGCCACGATGACTCCAGGGTGGTAACATTCTCACTGCTGCAGCTGTGGCTCAGTCAAGTAATTTGTTCGATCTTTTTTAATTCTTCATACCTTCATGTGTAAATCAGTGAATGGCAAATCTCTTGGCCTACGCAAGTACGCATTATAAGATCTAAACAAAATTTATACGGAGTACATTTATAATGATCAAGACAATCATTTTTAGATGGTAAGGTGTTTACTCTTATGATTCAAACATCTTTATAGGATTCCTGTTTGGATATAATGGATTCAAAACAAAAAACTTTTGTTTTATTGTTTGACAAGTTTGGATGTTGAATCACATAGGATAAAATGAATGGATGTCGAACGATCTCTCATCTCTGGAATGGAAACCATAATAATTCCAAAGTAATGTTGAGCCTACAAATGTCATCAACTCTTAAAGGAGTTTTAAATACTACCTCGGTCCTCTTTTTATTTAGCCATCTTTGACTTTTTCAATCAAAAGTGATAAACTTTGATTTATTATTTTAACTAATATATTTATTTGAAATTTAATAAATTTATACTTTTATGATAGTATTTTAAACAAAGAACTTTTTCATATAATTTTCATATTATCAATATTACCGTGTATAAATATATAATCGGTCTAACTTGAACAAGTTTAACTTGAAAAAATGTGTTTGGCTAAATAAAAAAAGATGGGGAGTATTTTTTTAGTATTTTTTCCAATTAATAATCAATTGATTGATAGGAGTATCTTTTTAGATAGGAAAACATATACTCCGTATACACGTATTAACCACACACAATTGTTTCTTTGAAAATGATTTGTTGTTTTAACTTGAAAATTTTCTAAATGCCGGCAACGAATATGAAGAGATGTTAAATTTGGAATAAATCCATTTTTTAAATTTATTTACAAAAAGTAAAACTCCTACCGTTAAACTGCAATCCAGGATGCTAAATAATTTCGAGTCATTGAGATATGAGATTTTTAAATTCTGATTGTGATTAAATAAAAAATTGGATGAACTTTTAACATATATGATACGTATAGGTTGACGTTGTCCCGCCGATAAATTAGCAAAACCTATAATGTATCCGTAAAGTTTTTAACGGTTCGGTTCAGTACGGTTCTAAGGTTGGTATCAGGCCACTCACTACCATGTCATTAATTGTTCACAAGTATTTCTATTAGTTATTAGTTGTTCTTGATCCTTTAATTGGAATAAAAAAGTTATTTATTACTTATTGTGTTTTTCTTGAGTAGTTTGTGAAATTTGTCTGCCCGTTCATCCTTTAATGCGTAGCATTTTTTTCTGTATGTATGTATTTAGCATTTCGTATAACAACATATATGAGGTATGCATGTGTCTCCTCTTATTATATACAAGTATGTCAAAATATTTATTTAAAATTGTTAGAATGGATATACGAAGTATCTTACACTTATATTTGAATATGTATTTATTGTAATGTATCTTATGACAAAAATATTAGTGTCCCGTGCATCGCACGCACGGTACAATAACTGTTCCCGCCGGTTGACATCGTATGAATACCACGTGCGAAATAAGTGTACCGATTACGTGCCAAAAAATACGTAGTTTATCTATTCAAAACTTTCAAATAACAGACCAATTAATTAATTAATATTAAACGGAAATCACCTGCACGTTAAAACTTTATCTTAACCACTGGAAAGGTCAGGGGCGGAGCTAGAGCACTAGGCCGGACTGGGCCGATACAAAGAATATTTTTTGAAAATTTTTTACACGGAATTTTTCACACTAAAAATACAGGCATTTTTAAAATTTGGGCTGGGCCAGGGCCAGGGATGGCCCTCCCCTAGCTCCGCCCATGGGAAAGGTGGCAGTTTCCACTTTCCACTACTCTTAATTTTCCACTATAATAGCATATTAGCAAAATCAGTTCAAAAATCATTGAACTGATGCATATATAAAATCGGTGTATAAAATACTTTTCAATTTATACCTGCATGACATGATTACTTTCTGAGTAGAAGGCCGGGGCATTGATATCATGGATACCGCGGTTTTTGGATAGACAGCTACATGTTTGCTTGGTGTGCCGATGCATGGACATTATGGATGTCGCGGCTTGGGCACTTGGTAAACCGTGGCATGGACATTATGGATGTCGTGGCATGAAGCATGGTCTTGGATTTTATGGTGTTTTTTTCAGCGGGACCTTTTGTAACTATTATTTCCGGTGGATTTTTAAAGCGTGTAATTTCTTTTTCTCTGTAAATTCAACGAAATAAGTGCATTATTACATTAGCACTTTGCTTCAAGAGTTGATGATTAATACAAAAGTATATGTATACCGTGCATCGCACGGGTACAATACTAGTAGGAGTAAAACTTAATGAAAATTCACTAATAGGACCTTAAGCTTTTTATTCCTTAAATAGGACTATATTAGTCCCATGTAGAAACATAATAAAACTTCATACCATTAATACCCTTCTTTTAATTAATACCTAAAAGGCTAAAATTATATTCCTTTCCTTTCCCCTCTCTCTCTTGAACTCATCGATCGACTTTCTTCCCTGCGCTTACGAAATAGATCGACTCCTCCCTGCGACTTCTCTCTGTGCATCGCAGACCACAGCCGCCGAGTCTCCGTCACATGCCACCTCCGCCGTCACTAGCGAGTTCACCACGCACATCACAGGTTTCTTCTCCTCCTCCTCTTTTTCCTCCTTCTCCTCTTTCTCTTTCTCCTTCTCCTTCTTCTTCCTTGATCTCCTCCTACTCCTCCTATTCCTCTGTTTTCTTAGATTTGATATTGATTTTCCGATTTCCTCCTTTTTCATATGTTTTTCTAGGGTTTGACATCGATTTTGCTAATTTTCACATTTCTATTTTGTATTTTCTGATTTCTGATTCCTGATTTCTTTAGTTTTTTTAAAAAGGTCAGATTTTCCAAAATTTTGGATGATGGTTTCATATTTTGCCACGTTTATGGTAGAAATATGTACACTCACAATTGTATTATGGAAAAAATGCTTTTGTATACACTGGATTTTCTGATTTTGTTGTCATTAGCTTCGTATTTTTATATTTCGATTGTATTGAAGTGCTTATTTCACTATTTTTTCCGAATATTTGTTTAATACTTTCATATTTTTGCCAAATTTATGACAGTTCTGTGTTAAGTTTCCAAGTTAGATCTGCCAACTTTATGACAGAAATGAAAAACCTTGTTCATGGCAGATTGCCAGATTTGATATTATTTTTCAAGGCTAAATCTGCCAACATAGTGGCAGATGTATGGCGAGTTGCAACGACGGCTATGGTGCTAGGAGGTGGGGATCAATGGCACACAGAAGGCGGTGAATTGCAGATTTGGTTGGGGTGACACCACTAGGCGGCGATGGATGGTGGCACCGGCGAAGAGGCGTCGTACGGTGGCGCCTATGAGGGGTGTGGCGCCAGATTATTCCGGCGACGTCGGTGGAAGGCGGTGGCAACAACGATGGTGGCGAGGGCGGTGCCGGTGGTGTTGGCGAGGGGCGGTGGCGGATCCAGATCTGGTGGTAGCAGATCCACGTCTGGCAGCTTGCAGTTGCAACATTAGGGTTTCAACAGTTTTTTTATTTTACTCCGTACAATTTTAAAATTCAAAAAATTAAAACAGGGGTAATTTTGTCCATGGGTGGTGAATTTGGTCCTATGAAACACGGTTAACATTTTCGGTCCTATTTATGCACATGGATATACTTTTAGTCCTAGATAGGTCATTAACTCTTTAAAAAAAGGCAGAATTTGATATCAAATTGTCTGTCTACATAAACAATTTGTACACATTTTGTGTACAATTTGTGTACACCAAGAATGGTCCTATATAATTAGAGCCCGTTTAATAAATCATATTTTCACTTTATCAGCTGTGTCTATCATTTTTTTTCTAGACATTTACTTTTGTTAGTGCACAATGAACCGTGTAATAATAAAATTAAGTAAGATTGAGATTACTTCTCCGAATAAATTGACTAAATTAATCATTTTAGCTATGTATAATATTTTCTTTATTTTATTATTAATTTTTTTTATTTTTCTTCATTATTCAGCCAATTGCACATGTTCAATCAGAATTTCATCAATTTCAACCGATTCAACTAATTCTTTCAACTAATATCAATGTTATCAAATAGATTCTTAAATATTTACGTGTTTACCTCTTTGGACTTGATATCTTTCGCTTCACATTGTAGCCCCTCTTTAACCTCTTTCAGATATCCCTCCAGCTTTTTTTCGTTTGTTTTTGCGTTTGTCACTTTGACATTCCATTCTACAGAACTGCCCGTTTTTGATTGAGAGACAAGCTCCCAGTTATCTCCTGTTAGATGTAAATTAAAGGAATTCAAACTTCAAAGTACGAGTAAAGCATATTCGTATACCAATATCATACTCGTAGTAAGTACTGTAATTGCCTTTACATCTTGAGTGCTACAATATACACGTTCTCCAGGCATGAAATAGATAAACACATAAAAAAAATCATTGACATTCCTCTGTTTTTTCCAAGATTTTATATAATTTCGACTATAATGTCAACCACAATATGTACATCTAGACATTCTTCTTGACATTGTTTAGAAAAACTTATAAAAACATATAGGGTGTTTGATAAATAGCATTTGGGCGAAAAATGGCGGTTTGACCACTTTTAGCGTTTTCAATAAGTGAAAAAACTGTTTGGTAAGCAGCTGTTCGACATTGGCGTTTTTAGCCAAAAACGCTGAAATGAAAACGCTGCAAATAGGAGAGTTTTGAGTTAGCGTTTTGAAATATGGCCTTTTCTACTAATTTTATGGCTAAACAGCTAAATTAACATCTTCTCACAACCCGCCAACTTATTCCGCTAGTCAAACCCGCTGACTGAATCCACTATTGACAATCCGCTAACATAATCCGCTATCCGCTAACCGCTAAATGCTAAACACGCCCATAAAACTAGGGCTTAGCAAAACTCGAACCGACCCGCAAAACTCGAAGTTTTTTTCGGATAATATCCGGATAATATCTGAACAGAAATGGATATCCGACCCGAAAAACCTGAAACCGAAAATCCGATTAGTATTGGGCCTAGATCGGGTGGCGGGTAGGGTTTGTAAAATCCCAACCCGACCCGCCCGAATATCCGAAATATATTAGTGTGTACTTTGAATATATATATTAAATTAATACCCGTGTTCAATTATTTGTGTAATTAATTGTGCAATTTGTGTTAAATTATTTTTGTAATTTGGATGTGTAGTGCACTAGTGTGTACAATTTTTGTCAAAGTGACATTCCAAGACTTTAATTATCCAATTATAATGTGTTTTAATATAACCGAAATATTCGAAATATATTAAATTATGTAGTGTGTACTTTGAATATATTAAATTAATACTTGTGTGTAATTATTTGTGTAATTATTTATGCAATTTGTATTAAATTATTTGCGTAATTTGAATGTTTAGTGCACTAGTTTGTAGAATTTTTGTCAAAGGGGCATTCAAACACTTTAATTATCCAATTATAATTTTTTTTAATATAACTGAAATATCCGAAACCCGATCCGATATCCGACTTACAAATATCCGCAAAACCCGATTTGAAATATCAAAAGGGTCGGGCCTAGTATTTAACTTAAAAAACCCGAACGGGTTTAGCGTACGCAGACCCGACCCGTCCGAACCCGACCCGTGCTCAGCCGTACATAAAACCGCTCAAATAAGGAGAAATATATTTTGCTTACTTATATTTGTGTGTCTATCTATCACTAATACCACATGTGCACTGTGCACATTGTGACATTGGAGATGCTCTCTAATATGAGTCAACCCTTAATTTTCTCTAAATAGGAGTAAACATTAATATTCTACCCATAATATCTCTATTATAATTGATTAATTGCCCCTAGTTTCCTTGGAAATCAGTTAGTCCATTGGTGACAGCGCAAATCAACGATGACAACGGTAGAGCTCCGGTGACTGGTGGGTGTGATAGGCAGACTGGGGGCAAACAATATGATTTTTTTTTGCCCCGCCGGAACTCAGATGTCCGGCGACGGCAATGTCATAGTGATAGAATTTTGGAAGTTGGCAGTGGCAATTACTACCCTAGCCAGGACAGGGGTACTTCTGTTCATTTACAAAAAAACTCCTATTTTGAAAATTTAAACACTAGTCTTATTTTTGACTTTTTATCATGTTTTACTCTTTGAGAATTATCTCAAAATAGTGTCATAAAAAATTGTAATGTTAGAGATATTACCGGTAGAGTTGCATCTATTACTATATAAAAGGAAAAGAATTTCGATGCATGTTCTTCCCGCCCAGAACTGTCCACTTCATGTGTTGATTTTTTAATTTCTTTAGGGGTTACATCCACGTAATGGAATGAAGTTATGGGTTCGGATAATATTGGTCGAGGCATGAGGTGGGCATAGTAACAAAAAGGAATTGAGGCTCCTATTGGTTAATTGAGGTGTGTACTGTACATCAAATTTGTGACCCGATTTTGTATTGGTAGGAAGAGCACAGTAACAAAATGAATTGAGCCTCCTATTGGTTAATATTGAGGTGGGTACTGTACATCAACTTTGAGAACTAATTTTGCTGGCTGCCTTTGTATTGGTAGAAATGGGCGGGCAAACAGTGAAATGGTATGGGCAAGCAGTTTTTTCGCAAACCATTCGTACATGCTACCCTATAAAAGAACTGCTCCAGATTGCATTTTTCTCCATCGTTCTCAAGTTCCAGTCTGATATTCAATAGCAGTAAAACAAATTCTAAACATGGTTGGCATGTGGTAATTGTTTTGAGAAATGGACCAAAGCAAGACGACCTGGGCCATAAAGGCCAGAGCCACCCGCGTTTACCGCGAATGTTCACGATGAAGAGGTCGTCAACTGTGTTTTGTATTCTTTCCCTTCTTTTACAATTTAATTTCATTATATTTAGCTCCATATTCGTTCCTACATAGGGAGCGAGGTTTTCTGTTTGATCAGGAGGTCAGCTACATCCTTAAAAGATCAGGTCTCTAAGGTAACATCCTTTTTTGGGTTGTTTATGAAATCATATAATCCTGTTATTAGCTCCAAACGACACTTGCACACTATTTAGGTAGAGGAACTTTGGTCCCCACTACTTCCCTGCTGAGATTAATGCCCTCATGGACATTAAAGCTCCATTTCGGGTATAGTACAAAAAGGAGGGTGGCAACTACCGGGGAAATCAAAACTTCAGTGTTCTGAGGATGAACACAGACCCAAGGGTGCTGTCACTCCATGTTTCTGTATCCAACACAGAGGTGAGTTCTATGGGTTTCAAGGTTGTGTTTTGACAGGTTGTATTGGTAGTATTTGACAGCTAGAAATGTAATTTTTCATATTTGCAATAGATGGGCTTCTAAGTAAAAATTACTACCTCTGTTCCAAAAAAATCTTCCCACTTACCTATTTCAGATGTTCCAAAAAATTCTTCTCATTTCCCTTTTTAGAAAGGTTTGTGTGACTATCATTTATTTACTTTTTTTTTACTCAATTACAATCATACATTTTCACTTTATTCTCACTTTCTTAAACTCCGATCCAAATCAAATTGGGTAAATTTTCTCAAACGGGAAGAGTATTAAATTTTTTGTTACACATGGGCACAACAAATTAAAAAATAAATCATCTTTCATTAATATACCCATGATGTCTACTTCTGTAAAAAAGGGTTGAATAGACACTTCTGGGGCCGTTTGACAACACTGTTTTTTGGCTTATCAGGCTTATCAGGCAACTTTTTCACCATACAAGTAACTTTTGATTTCGCACGCTGAATTATGTAATAAACAGAAAAAGTAAGGTTGAAGTTACTTTTATGGCTGTATTGGCCGAAGTTACTGTAGATGATCATTTTAGTTATTTTTACATTGATTTTTTCTTTATTTTATTAATACATATATTTTAAAAATAACTTTTTCTTAAATCAGCAGAATCAGCCAATGCAGGCACTTCAGCCAGAACTTCATAAATTTTAGCAGAATCAGCCAAAACAGCCGATTTTCGTTCTACCAAACGGGCTCTACGTTAGTTTTGAACTATCAGTTAATCTTCGTGCGTTAATGTCAAAATCCTTCAAACAGATATAGATTTTACTATCAGCCAAGGCATTAAAGGAACAATTAATTTCCTTTAAAAAATTAATGCTTATCCAGTTCGATCTTAGTCACTTTTCCCAGATCTTATAGTTGCAATTGTTCAAAGCATCTTCCCGGAGTACGTTGAATCGACATAGAATTTAAGTTCTTTGCGTGATCGTGCAATTCTAGCCGGCACCCACACTGGCTGTTGTTGAGGTCGTAAATGAATATATGACATCACTCAATGTTGGTGAGATTTCGAGAACCTATCTTAATTCAGACAGCGTTTCAAAGTTCGATTGCACGACCGATTTGATGACCGAATTGCATACACCAGAATTCTTGAATAGCATCAAATTTTCTGGCGTACCAAATCATGAATTAACGTTAAAGGTAGGAACTCCTGTAATGCTTTTGTGGAATATAGATCATTCGATGGGATTATGCAACAGAACTCGCCTTATTCTAACGAGGTTGGGAGATCATATTTTGGAAGAAACAATTTTAACTGGTGTAAGTGCTGGCAAAAAAGTATTAATTCCAAGATTGTCTTTGACCCCTTCTGATTCAAGCTTGCCATTCAAGTTTCAGCGACGACAGTTTCCTATTATGACTTCATATGCTATGACTATAAATAAAAGTCAAGGTCAATCGTTGTCACGTGTAGGATTGTTGTTAAAAAAAACCGTCTTTACCCACGGACAATTGTATGTTGCAGTTTCAAGGGTTACAAATCGTCAGGGTCTGAAAATATTAATTTGTGATGAGGTCGGAAGCACCACAGATATGACTCAAAAAGTTGTTTTCAAGGAAGTGTTCAACAATGTGTAGAGTTACATTATAGTCATTTATGTAACGTTATTCTCTTTATCAATTTCTTTTGTACTTCCCAACGTTTTACGATACTTAATCCTCTATTTGAAATAATGATATAATATGTGCCCAACAGCTTTTATACAGATTTATCATATACTCCGTATCTTAAATTTTTTTATCATATACTCCGTATCTTAAATTTGTCTTGAACATAAATCGTTTTTGCTACATCATATATGTTTTGGCGTAACAATTATGCCTATTTTATTGTTTCCACCAAACAATTAAAAAACAAATTATAAACCGTGCATCGCACGGGTGATATACTAGTTAGACAAAATATGACATGACATGACCCGACTTTGGATATTACTTTGGTTCCTGTTAAAAATCGATGGAACC